TTGTTTGCTCAAGCATTCTTCTTATAAAAGGGAGAGCTATGAGCAAAAAGACAAGTGTTGGTCTAAGTAAAAATAACGAAAGGGTTAGTGTCAATGACGATCTTTGACCTTATTTAAGATAAAGGTCATCGATGTTGGCATTGATAGAGGGCGTCAATTTTGATGTAATGGTAGGCATCAATCTACTTGGCAAAGATGAGTGCAGACCTTATTAGCGATGATGGGGTTTGTCCATATTGATAACAATGGGTGATAGTGTTAGTATTGACGATTCGCATCGACCTTGACAACAATGTTAAGCATTGAGTGCATGGTGTCAATGGTGAGAGTAAGCTTTGTTGGCAACAAAAGATGTCATTTTTTGGTGGTGATGGTGGATGCCGACCTCGCTAGAGATGAGATATGTATCAATGTTGGTGATGATAGCAGACGTCAATGATGGTCTAAATAATAGACATCGACTTTGTTGATTGAACAAGGCATAAAGTGGTTGGTGATGACGTGTGTCAATGTTGACGTTGATGATGGATGCTGATCTTATTGAAGATGTCAAGCATCTATATTGTTGTCAATGATAATCATTGATGTTGGTGTTGTTGTTGAGTGTTGACATTAGTGATAATGATGACGGGCAACTATGTCAATATTAATGTATGGTGTTGACATTAGTGTTGATGACATACATCTTTCTTTTTGTCACTTATAAGCATTAATAACGGTGTTAATTACAAGCGTCAATCTTGATGGCAATGTCAAACATTTGTTGCTCAGTACTGTGCTCGGTATAGCCCGCTTGGTATTGCTCGGTATGCTCGATATTGCTCGGTATTTTCACCGGATGGAATAATTTTTCTAGAACATGACACTTCTGCTGTCATTGGTTTCATCAGATCTAAACATTCATTTTAACTATGAATTTGCAAAATAAACTTTAACTCATGGGCCTGTTAACAAGCCAAATTTGAAGTAGTTTGTTTCACTCACTCCGTTACCTGATGGTGTATGGAGAAGAATAAATGAAGCTGTCAAGCTTTGAATAATATGGCGGTGGAGATATCTATAATTAGATGCAGATGCTTATAAAGAATGAAGTCGATACTTTTTTTTTTTTTCATTCATTTGTCCACCGTCGTCATGTGCGATGCCTTATTTGTGAAGCTACTCCAGAGATTATTATATCAATACTATTTAGATTCTTTGTTAATATGTTTATCATCTGATTCTTTGTTTTAGGAGATTTGTTTTCTCTTTCTTTCCTTTAAGATTTTGTTTGGAAAGAAGTTCTATTGCTTCTTAAAGTAACTTTTTAGTGTAAAAATTAAAATTTTTTTAATTAAAAAGCTGTTTTAAGAAGCAGTAAGAAAGTCATCCCACATGAAGCCTTAGTGAGATTACGTGTACTAAAATTTGAAGAAAACTACTTTCTGATTAGAGAATTTTTTTTTTTTAAATCAGAAAGATGGTTTAAGAAACAGTATAAAAACCGTTCCAAATGAAACTTTAGCTTGTTCAAATTTGGATCATTACAGTGCAAAATATATGCTATTATTTGAATTATATCGTATATATTTTATTTTATTTTTATTTTTTATTTTGTGTTTGATGCTTTTATTTTTATATTGTGTATTTAATCATGCAGTATGTTCTCTCCTCATAGTCATAGATGCTTCAACCGAACGTTAGGTACTCTTACAAATGACAATCTAATATGAAATATGATTATCATAAATTTTACTTGGCGAGAATTTTTTATACTCATGAGGTGTTTAAATTTGTGTGAGATTATGTATTTGTTGGGATGCATTGTATAAAATTGATTGTGAAGTTGATGTAGAGAATAAATTTCGTAACTATGATTACATAAAACATCTTCTACCATATAACATTTTGAAAAACAATAAGAAAATAACAAGCAAAATTTAAAATGCTTAGGATGAAGTTGAGTCAAATTGATTAGATAGGATAAAATTGATGCGAAAAGACTATACAGAACACAGGGTTATATGTAAGAGGAAATATGATCAATAGCATCTCATATGACATGCAATACATACAGATAAATAAAAAGTGTTGGAAGAGCTAATTCTGCATATTTAGTAAAAATTGACTTATTTCCTAACAGGACACAAATACATGACCCCTTTTCATTACCATCTTTTCACTCAGTGGCGGAACCACATGAAACAAAAAAAAAATTTTATAGGAGTAAAAAAAAAAATTTGCCCCTCCGAAAAAATTTTTTTTGCCTCCCTAAAAAACTCTTTTGTGCTAATTTGCCCTAAAATATCTATATATTTATTTACATTTAGTTCTAATATTCACTTTCATGCTTTTTATGACAGTTTAATAACACTTTTTTCTTTATTTTTATAGCTTATTTAAAAAAAAAAACTTTTCGTAATATATAGATTACAACCAGGGGCGTGGGAACATTACAACCAGGGGCGGATCCCTCATTTAATCAATCCTAAGCATATTTGCCCATCCCCCACAAAAAAATTTTTTTTTGCCCACCTTGAAAAAAGAAGCTGGATCCGCCCCTGATTGTAAAACTAAATTTCAAAATGATCTAAACATGGCAATACATTAAAATAGGAGTTCCAAATATTCTTTAAAACTTGCTTAAACTTTTTCTTTAATCTTAATCCTCGATGTACTTTATTTGAGTCATATTCAAATTTTGTCCGAACATAATATTCAAATCCTAATCTTGCATAAATCATAAATCTTAAATAATAAATAATATTAGGTGGCAGGAACCTTGTTTGAATCTTTTCCTTATAATCATTCAAGGAATTGATTCATTTGAATTGATTTATCATGCTAACAAACATCCTAACCAATCATTTATATGGAGAGACAATACGCTAATCGCATACCATTAATGCGCAAATGTTTGATTGCATTCATTTATTTGACATAAAATCTATGCACTTGGATTCTTATAATTTTTTATTGGTTGTTTTTGGTTGGGGGAATTCAAATTGCACATGAGTTGCTTCGTCAAAATACACTTGTTCAAGAATGCAGTATTTTTTTTTTGTAATGGCCTTAATTAATCTGTTAGTCATATGTTCTTTGAATGTAATTTCACGTCTAATATTCTTACCAAAATCTTGTCGAGGTTTGCCTCCTTCCTTCTGAAACTGAATTTACTTCAATTTCTCTGTTATATTTTTGATATGAGCTGAATTTTGCAAGTTGTTAAGAGCTTATTGTATCTATCTATTTGTTGTGTGATCTATTATATTTGCATGAAAAAAATGAGAGTTATTTGGGAAATGTCATTGAGTCTCATTCCACAATATGTATCAAAATTTCAAGGGCTATCGATCACAAAGTATTGAAATATAGCAAAGTTTCATATTTGGGTTGCGTGATACTTTATGCATTTTGAGTCCAGATTTTAGAAGTTATTGCTTTTTTTTTTTAATTCTTTCTATTATGTTTTTTAGTATTGTATAATTTTTAGTTGCAATTTTTATGATTTTATCTTCATTTTTTTTTTCTTTTGAGTTATAATTTTGCTTTATGTATATCTATAATTAATGAAAATGAGTTAAAAGAAATAAATATTGATATTTAGGATTTATTTGGAACAACTTTTCGACCGGATAATAAGTTTTATTTGACTAATTTTTTTAATTATTCTTTTAAAAAATGTATTAATAAATTATTTTTTTTTAATTTTTTTTCATAATAACTTTATACTACCACAACAACAATGACAAGCCTTTATCCCACTATGTGTGGTTAGTTATGTAAATCTTTTTTCTCCACTGTGTTTGTTAAAAGTTAAATTTTCATTTAAATTTAATAAAGAAAGTTTATTTCTAATATTTTATAACAAAGTCTTTTTAGGTCTATCTCGACCTTTCTTATAATTAGTGGTGTCAATTTCGGGTTACGGGTCGGGTTTGGATCGAATTCGAAACTCACTAGGCACTATTCGGGTCATCCCGAACCTGACCCATTTTTGCAAACGGGTCAATTTTTCTGACCAAAATCGACCCACTTCGGGTCCGGATCAACCCGAAACAACCCGAAGGACAAAGCAAACAAAAAATTGCTAGTTTTCGGGTCAAAAAAGGGTCAATCTCTGATTTTCAGGTAAAAAACCGGTCACTATGGGTTTTCAGGTCAAAGCAGGTAAATTTCATATTTCTGGGTCAACCAAACTCCGACCTGGTTTTTGAAACGGGTTGATTTTTTGAACCCAAATCATACCCAATTCGGGATCGGGTTGACCATAACCCGAATTTTTTGGTAGGGTTTGTGTCGGGCTTTCGAGTCGTGCCAAATATTGACACCCACACTTAACATAAGTTAAATCTAATACATCTACTTTTCTAACTGGGTCATCAGAAGGCCGCCATTTTTTTTAATGATTATAAACATAAGTCAAATCTAATACATCTATTTTTCTAACTAGAGCTAAGATTAGAGATTCCATAATAACTTTATAATCATTAAAAAAAAAAAAAACTATAGGTCCAACCCTCTAAAGTCTAAACCAAGGGTTGAACCCCCTTAAGGTCTCAGGGGGCAATTGCCACCCTAAAAAAAAAAAATTATTTGTTACATTATTCTTTAGGTAATTTGTCCTCTCTCCATCTAATTTTTTAGTCTTTATTATAAGAGTTTTTATGCAATTGCCCCCTTAAAAGTTTTAAAATATTATGGTCTTTAGCTAATTGCCAAACAAATAGTAAATATAATTCATCCTTTTATTTATTAATTTGAATTTCAATAAATATCCTTACAACCAAAATTTGTTCTGGGGACGCTGCTATCCCTTGACCCCGCGACCTAATTGGACATGTCGAATCCCACCAGGAGGAGCTGCTCCCTTAGACTCTCGATATATCTGAGAAACTTATGATGATTAATAATATAAATAAACAAGGATCACTATTGACCTATTTTTTATAGTGAAACATCAAGTCAAATTTGAATCAACACCAACATTGATTTATAAATTTGCCCAAGTTGAGGCTGGTTCCGCCGGTGCTCTGAACCGATTCTAAAATAAACTTGCCCTCTGAGAAGTTTTGTCGAAATGGAAGTGGCGTATGCACTATAGAGTTATATATACGATTATAGGAGGGGAACATGGTAGTAGTCGGGAATCTCTTCAGCTCTCTTCCGAGAACTCCGCCGTCTGTTCGTGCTGCTTCGGGCGCCGCCATACTTCACGGCCGACGAGCTCCTCTCGTTGGTGCTCTCTGGGTGCTGAGCCTCGGAGCTCTCACAGCGCTCTCGTACAGAACGGGGTGCATCCAGTCCCAGCGCCGTGTCCCCTTTTTTAGGTACGAAACCCTAATGGCTTCCTTAGTTATTCGTCGGAACTTTACTTCCTCTCCTTGGAAGTTTTATCTATATATCGATTTTAAGATGTTGAAATGCGTAATCGATGATATTTTTTTAGCTGCACGTTTCTGTTTTGATCTTACTTCTTCCCTTATTCTTCTTCTTTTATGGCTGTGGTATTTTTGCATATAATTTAGGTGCTTCTTGTTTTGTTGGTTATGAATATATTTTGAATGATTATCATTACTTTTTTTTGCCTTCCAAATAGTTGATTTGAGCCTGCGAACTCAACACCAAAAACACAGAAAAATAACATAAAAAACATAAGACAAATGCTATATTGATAAATAGGCAATTGTAGATTTCCTAAGTCTCATCGTAGAAGGGGCGAGAAGGAAGGGCTTTGGGCAACATAGGCCCACAGGGCCACAACTGCTGGTAGAATGAGGGGCTGAGAGGGAGAGTGCCTAAGCTCCAAGAAGAAGAGGTTTTTCACATTTTTTATTTCATAACGTGTACCAATGCTCAACATGAGTATTTATAGGCAAAATGACATCTAATAATCTAACAAACCTAAGACACAATAATACTAACATCCTAATTTCCCATTAATTAACCATTAAATTTTATTCCCCAACATTTCTAATGCTTTTACAATGACCTTGCCCGCAAGATTGAGAGATCGTTGCAAAATAGGGGGCAACTGTCATCCCCTGCAAGCTAGAGTGGGGGAGAGCGGCAGATCTAGAGGGATCGACAAAAATGGAATATGGATTTTGATCCCAAAGGATTTGGTGTGGGGTGGGGAACATGGAAGATAGATTTGGACGGATTCAAGGTGGAGGAGGACTTTTATTGTTTTTCGCTTTGTTTTTTTAATGCCAGCATGTTTTTGTGGACTAGAAGGGGGATGTTGTGAAAGGTGTTAAGCATGTTTGAAAAAAAAAGATTGAATTGAACCTATCAGATATGGAAGGAAGTTTGATGCAGTGGGATCTGCTAAGGCAAACATGGATGCAATGAAGGTATTTTTGTAGTCCTATTCTAGTCAAGACAATGGGGATTTGTGTGAAGGAAAATGATGATGAGCGGGGTTGGATCTGGATGAAGATTGGGATGCTGATCTTAGTAGATCATACAAGGGGTGACATGCCCGACTATGACGAGATGATTTGGTCACATAAAACGGCGGAGTTGGGATATCGCAGAGTTGGATGTTGGTTTGAAGTTGACGGATTTAGGCGGAGTTGGGATATTGGCGAAGATAGGGATGAACTAGGTGGTCATGTCCAATGAAAATTGAAACCTTCAAGCAAATTTAGCCAAGATTCAGGATGTTGTTTTTAGATTTGTTGGGGGTGAGCGCATCGGCGTATGGTGGAATCACAATTATGTTCCTGGATCTACATCAAATGCCACTGGATCTCGCCATATATGAACAAATTGCTATGTTTTGAATGATTTGTGGGGATCAATAAGGAGGTTGCCGATCAGAAACAATAAGAGTTGGGTACACAAGATATGCTCTTTCGATAGAAGATTTGGATGAGAGATCAAGTGGAATTAAGCAAGGCCGATCAAGATGGATGGAGATGAACATATGGTGATAGTGAGGCTCAACGAGAGCATCACTTGTTATGAACCATAACAAAATCACGGAAAATAGATTGAACAATAGTAAAATATTGCAATAAAAGAGATAATTATGCAATTACAACTTGCTTAAAGCTCTAGGTAGAGGAGTTAGAAGGGTTTTGGGCAGTATAAGATGCCCACAACTCTTGTTAGAGCGAGAGGGATAGGGAAATTAGACGAGCTAGTAATTTCAATTAAGAAGGGTTTCATTTTTTAAATTTTGATTTGTTTATTATCAAGGGTTGTTTAAATTCAAATATTAATTCATTTAAATTTTAATTAAATTTTAAATTTTGTTATTTGAATTTATAGTTTTAAAAACAAATTAGGGAATATATATAGTATAACAAATGATGACTCTATTCACTAAAAAGTCCTCACACTTCTAATTTGCATTTTATATTGCTAAAAGAATTGCAATTTCTTACTTTCAAGTTCCCCACGTTAATAGAGGTGTCTTTTTTTCATCACTTGCATATAGGACTAGTAAATATTTATATTTAAATTTTCTACAAGAATTACCATATAATTTCTTCAGAATGAACTTTCTTCCCTTAGAAAAAAAATAGTCTTTTTTAGAGGTTCAAATTGTATAGTAATTAAGTAATTTTCTCTTTTCTTCAAGTATATTGTAACCATTAATAGATTATTTACTACAATGAACTCAAGCATATCTTCCCTAACTTATTTCTTTTTGCTAACCTATAATTATCATGATTTTTAAATATTAAAACATGACCAATTAAATCATTACCTTTTATTATTTCCTTCATTAGGTATATCTCGAGAAATTCATTTATTTTTAATTAAAATTAATTATAAAATTTTGCAAGTCCAACTTGAAAAGCATAAGCACAAGTTACATTAGTAATATATTCAACAAAAAGTAAATAGAAATGCCTCAATAATTTTATCTTTTACTTTCTGTCCGCTGCCATCCCCATTTCATTTTTTTTATTAACCTTTGAACTTATAAAACTTAAGATATTCTCCAATATCTTTGAAATTTTCCTTTTATGTTGAGTTTTTGTACATACATGATATTTACTATTTTTCTTAGTTGATTGGGGATGATCTCAAATACATTTAAGAAAATCTTCATAGCCTCTTCCACTCCATAATGAACCAGTTAGCCCAAGGTTCTATGGCTGTCCAATGTCCTCGAACACATATATTGATGCTTTAGTTATTGACAAAATGAGTTTTAGTTGGAAGAAAATAGCCCAAAAAACCCCCAAGTTTGAGCCCATAAAAAATAGTTGTTTGGTAAAATTATTATTCAAATCTCTGGTCAACATCTGAATGATACTTATCCATTTCTAAAATTAGGATTAGTCCTTAAAATTTAGAAAAATTAAGTTGTTTTCTTTTTTATGGGATTGCATTTTCCTTGAACTTTCAAAGTTTTTTTGCATAATTCATATACCTAAAATTTTGGATAAGTTGCTTTGTTTTGGGAATACGAATTATTTCCACACATTTTTATCCATTTAAGATGAGGTTTGATTTGAATTCTTTTCTTCTTAGCCTTATTTTATAAAGAAGGGATTAGGAGTCTATTTTGTGGGCAAGTAGTTTTGGGGTTTTAATAAAATTTGCTAGTTCTTTTTGTCTCTGTTTTTTTTCTTGATGTCCCTCTTTACCACCTCTTTGTTTTTAACCAAAGGCCATAACAAACAGCCTTCGCATCTTTGTTTTACCTACGAATACTTGTAGGGCTTGGTATGCACTACAATACGTAGTTTAACACTTAATCAGCAGTAGCCAAATTCATCTAACAACTGCCCTCCTTCAACATGCAGCGTCCCTGCCCTCTCCAATCATAGGTTCTGCTATCTATGCCTTCTCCAACCACTGGTTCATCCATATAGAGTAGTTCAATTGTAGTTGTTGCCCGCTTCACAAGAAAATAGGAAACAATGAAATTATTCATTTATTTGTGGGAAAATCAACTAGGCATCAAAGGTTGGAGGAATAAGAGGATTTTATGAGAAGGGAACTAAAGGCCTTTTCAATTAAAACGGCTCCACATTAGTTATGTTCTTCCAATTTTATTTTATATTCTATTTTTTAATTCTCTAAGACATTAACTTCCTTGCCTAAATGTGTGAGCCCTAGTGCTATTGCCTTGAGCTGTCTTTCCTAAACCTTAAAAACTTCTACTTGGTAGCATACTAAAGGATTGTGGAAAACCATGAGATCCTAATTTTCATTGATAGTTAAGTTGAAAGGTCTATCATTTAGCCCCAATTATTGCTAAATAACATGCCTTTACATGAACAACATTTAGTGACCCATCATGCTCTTGAAGGTCAAGCACCAATCCTATTCAATGAGGTTTATAGATCCTTTTTTTTTAAAATCAAATCCAAAGATTCTAGGTTATTGGTAAGTGACTTGTAATGGATAAAATATGAACAATCATAAATAATTAAGAAGCTTCTGGAAAACATAATTAGTTACTATGCAAAGGGAAAACAATTCCTTAAAGGAGACTAATTCTATAACAACAACTAGAAGCCTTCATCGCACTACGTGGGGTTGGCTCTATGAATTCCTTAAAGGAGAATAATGCTGGAATGACTAAAATTGAAAAGCTATTGGAAATTATGTGGAACAAATGACTCAAATATTTGCATCAATATGTCACACGAATGGAGGAATCCTTGCACAAGTAATGGTAGAAACCCTCAATTTCTTGAGAATATTGCTGATGAAGAGGAAGATCTCTGGCAGATGAAGACCAACTACCAGTTTGACACCCATTGGTTGAAAGTCTTAAAGATCTATTTTTTAGTTTTATAATTATACTTAGGCCGAGGGGATATCTTTTGCTTGACTCGATGTCATCACATGAATTACTGTGTTGGAACTTGAAGTAACTGAACTATAACTTATCATGTATGGCATGACCACAAATCTGGAGATTTTTGAAAGCTCGGTTATATTCCATCATATGTGAAGAAAAAGGATGAATTCTTTGATGACAACTGAGATAAATATATAAACATCTAGTCCAGGAGCACATTACAGAATTCATACGTCACACTCACTCACACCTTTTCATTAAATTTTACTATGTAGGAATAAGCCACTCTTATGTAGTTTTTATTAGGGTTTCGTGAAGAGATTAATTGAGAATTTTAATAAGTTCTATATAAGCAAGAACTAGAATAACGAACAGCCAAAATTAATAAAAGGCCAAAGGGCTTACTGCAACCATTATAGATCAATGGCCATTCATAATTAGTCTATTGGAAACTACGACAATAGAAAATGACCATGTAAGAAAGAGGACAAGAGGCTTGTCATTATTGTCACAACTAGAAAAAAGAGGAAGACACAATATTATCACCTGTCATCAAATTGATCCATTAGTAGCATTGATGATTCTCGACATTAGTAAAGCAGAAATAGCTTTTCATGTTTAACATCATGGTTAAACAGCATGTGGTCAAAACAATTGCGGACACCGAGAGCAGCATGAACTTGGCATCCTTTGACTTAGCAAAAAGATTAGGGTTGCCTACTCATGCATTCATAACCTTATCTCCTTAAATAAGCAACACTGTCAATTATATGGTGGAACGTCAGAGCAAATTCAAGTTCATTATACCTAAGTTATTTAAATATGTAGTATTCTGTATGTAACCTAGTACTAGTGGATGTTTGTCACATATTATCGGAAAATCTCTACCTCCGGCTTAAATGTCGTATATTATAAAAGAAGCAGGTGTACCTACTCAACAAAAGATGGGAGACAATAAATTATACAGAAGGGGCTATCCACTGGAGTTTTTACAATAACACAAGTTTCTCAAACACACAAAGCATAAAGTTGTGCCATAAAAAGCACCAACATTGGTAATGCCACGATCATCTTCTAGATGTCCAGGGAAGATTCATAAGAATAAGAGAGATTGGGATGATCAAGGGAAGGAAAATTTCCCTTTGTAGGAGTGAAAGGCAACATGATTCGGGAGAGTCTATAGCACATTTTAAAATATAATCAAGGTCTCTTGCACTCCAAAATGAACTAGTCAGGTTAAGGATCTATGATCGAAAAACCCTGTTAGACTTGAACAAAAATTGTGATTTAGTAATTGTTGAATGTTAACAAGAAGAGTTCGTGGAAGAAATCAACCTAAACAATCCCTAGTGTGGGCCCATCAAATTCAAATCTCTGGCATGCATCTAAGTGATACTTACTCATTCCTAGAAGTTAGGGTTATCCGTAAAATTTAGGAAAATTTCATTATTCTTTTCTATTAGATTATATTTTTCTTGAGTTTCACAATTCATGCCTAGAATATAGGATTAGGTATTTCTTTTAGGAATGAGTTTGTCAAGTGTTCTTATCCATTTATGAATATGTTTGATTTGAATCTATTCATATACTTGTATAAATAGAAAATTAGGGGTCTATTTTGTGAACAATTATTTTTGACATTGAATAAAGATCGTGATTTCTTCTCTTTATTTTTATCTTGTCGTACCTCTCTACTCCATTTTTGTTTTCTACCCAAGAACACTACAACTAGTCATCCATAGCAGTCGAACTCTGCATTGATAGTAATCAAACTCATCTAACAGTCGTCTCCTTCAATAAGCAGAGTCTTTACCCTCTACACTGAATGTCTTATGTCTGTGCCTTCTCCAGCTGTCAGTTTACCCATATTTCAATTGTAGTTTTTGTCCCTTTCATAGGAAAATAGGGAAATAATGAAATTATCATTGATTTGAGAGATTTCATATGAAAATTGGGAAATAATGAAATTATAATTGATTTGAGGGAAATCAACGACGAATCAATGTTATCTATAATGAGGAATCAAATAGTAGGAAAATTCTATGAGAAGAGAAATAGAAGGTTATTCCAATCAGAACCTTAGCTTCATATTGATAATGCTCTTCCAATTCTTTTCTATGTTATAGGATTAGTTCTCAATGGCATTTTCTCCCCACTTAATTTTGTGAACCCTAGTGCTAATGCCTTGGTTCCTCCTTTCTAAACCTTAAAATGATCCATATGGCAAGAATGTTACAAGGAATTGATGGTAACATTGTGAGATCAATTTCTTGGGCAGTTAGGTTTGAAACTCTATCTCTCAATCTTGGATAGTGATGAGTGACAGATCAATAAACACAAAACCCAGGGGCATCACCTATATCCGCTTGGAAGAACTTATACATCAATCCTACTTAAGTAGGGTTACAAATCATTTTATGATGTATTCATTGATTCCTTAGCTTTTATATTGAAACTTTATTAATTGAGTTTTTGGTAGAAAGTCTAATTTTTTATTTAGACTTGATCTAACTTGCCTATTTTTCACCATAATTATGTCGTGTATCATGTTTCATTGTTAAATGTTGTAGATTATATTTGTCTATTTCTCATCATAACCAAATTTCTTTTTGATGTTTCACTTACAAGTAATGTCTTAGCTTAGGTTAGAACTTAGAAATGAAGAACCCTTACTCTCCACAATTAGTTTAGGTTATGATATGTCACCACCATGAGCGGACATCTCTAGTACTAGAAAACTTTGAAATAGAATATATTTTATATTGTAAATTTGCCAAAAATGATTATACATAAGTTGTTTATTTCCTTTGACATTATAATGGCTTCCTAAGTTGAGTGAACTCATTACTTTGCGATTTGCTATAGTGCATCTCACATATTAATGCTTATAATTTAATGTTCTTCGGTAAGATGTCTTGAACAATTGAATTATTGGACCATTAAATTGAGCTAGGCAAATTTTGAACTCATCTTATTTTGGTTGAGAAAAATGTCAAAATAGTCCTGGATTATTTTTGTGGGGCTATTTTAATCTCAACTATCTAATGAGTTCAATTTTATCTCTTGACTACTTAAATTTGATCTGAAATAGTCTTTGCATTATATTATTTTGGATCAAATTTGAGGAGTTAAGGAATTATTTGGATCATATTTGAGAAGTCAAGGGACTAAATTAGACATATTGGATAGTTTGAGACTAAAATACCCCCTTAAATAATCCAAATTCCATTTTGATTTTTTTTTCTCTGTTTTTTTTCTTGTGGATGTCTCCTTCTATAGCTTGTTGAGGTTCCTTTCCTCGGATGATTTTTTTTTCTGCTGCAAAAAGTGAATGATAGGCGACTATTGCATTTTAACATGATGGAACGATGAGGAGGATTCATAAAGTTGGCCCAAAAATACTTTTGTTAGGGCTTATGATGACTATAAGTTTTGTCATAAATGCTTTATTTTTTTACAGCAGAAAGAATTCCCCCTAATATAACTTATTTGCTTCTACATGATGTCTTTCCGCTTTTCTTAAATGAGATAGTAGTTGTGCAAGTTAGGATGCTCTATATTAATCGATGTTCTTTCAAGACAATTGTTATTGTCTCCATCACTTGTGGTGTTTAGCTTCATTAAATCTTGCTGTTACCTCACACAGTCATTCAATGAATATTTTGATCATACTAATCAGAGATATATATCTTTTTATGTGAGCGTGCTTTCAACTTATTTGTTGAATTTGGACACCTTGCAGACCAAAATTTGCGAACCAACCATCTGTAAGAGCTCTTCATTCTACAGGAATGGCTGCTGCTAGCACTGTGCCTTCCATTGTTGTCTATGTTACTGTTCCAAACCACGAAGTAGGTTAGTCTTAGTAGTTTCAGCTATATAAATATTATCCACAATGACATTTTTACTCGTATAAAATTTTAGCAACAGGAAATTCTTGATCCTTTGTTCGCTCCGATGGACCCATGTAATTATTTTTAGGAATTGGAGAAGGAAAGCAAGATTGACTCGAAGAAGTACATTCGTCTTCAAAACTCAAAGATTCAAGTGCTCCTCTGTTCTCTTAGTCCTGGTTAAATGTTTTATCTTGTATCTCCCCTAGAGATCCAAGCATTGAGCATGATCTATGAGCGTTGAGGTTATAACTTGCTCATAGCATATGGTTTGAGGTTTTTTATTTTTTTAATCTTATTATCATTCAATTAAAGCGTACATCTTCGATGTCTATCAATGATCATTGGATAAGTGATCTTTAGTACATTTAGAAAGACCTATCTGCAACCACCTACTCCTATTCTAGAAGGATGTATATTCTCTGTCTTCTAGTACTTGCTTGCCATATTTTTTTTAACACGTTGATGGCCTAATCATTCATCTCTAATCCTATATCTTTTATCCTAGTGAAATTTGTAGTAGCCTACATATCAGTCTAACTGTTTCTACGTAATTATTCTAGTTCTTTTCTATATTTTGAGGTGAGATGGACTATATGCAACAATACAATTTTGATTTGATTCTTTGTATTGTAATACTTTGTATCTCCTGATCAAGCGGGTAATACCTATATTCTGATCAGAGACGATGCAGGATTTAGCTTGGTCTTATAGCTCTAATTGGCGGATTTCCTGCTTTTGCTGTGATATATCGTCATACTTTACTTATATTATCTTTTTGATATGCAGGCAAGAAACTTGCTGAGAGTATTGTTAATGAAAAGCTTGCTGCCTGTGTCAACATTGTCCCTGGTATGTCCTTAACCTTTCTCTGACATGCATCAATTTGCCCATTTTAGTCCATGCATTGAGATTCCTTTCGCATCTTCTCTGTATATCCTGTTCCCTCCACTTGAATGCTTATTTTCCTTTCTTTTTGAGACTTTTGGAAGAATCATTTTAGTGAAGAAGCTGTTGTCCAGGATATTGGTATTGTTGAAAGCCTTAAACAGAAAATGAAATATTCGGCCGCGGCATGTTCATTTAAATCCTGAATGTGTGACACAATGTGGATGTTCTTTTCAAAAGCCGAGTTCCATAAAGTTCAATCATTTCATGGAATTAGTTTATGTTGAATTGAGTGTATGGACTTGCTTTGGTCGTTAACTTTCAATGCAGCTGCTTGTGCATATATTTAAGTGCTTTCTTATTTGAAGCATCATGTTATAAGTAATTTAAGTTAGAAATATGATGTTTCACTGGAGAAGGATTTAAAATAATGTATTGTGTCCTCAGTTTTGATAATAATATGGTGCCATACATAAAAGTTGATTAAAATATAAACTTCAAATTTTTTGGAGCAAATTCGGTTTCATGGCAGGAAGACTCGGTACAAAAGATGTTTTTTGTGTTAAAATAATTAATGAACAAGTACCAGGAGTAACAAATAATCATCATTTAGATCTTGACCTTGAGAAGGCAAATAATCAAGTACCATGAGAATTGATTCAGTGTCTAATGAGAAACAAAAGTATGTCAAAGATAATGTTCCATGTTAAAGATGCATGATACAATACTTGCTAATATTAGAAGTAGTTGTGAAGTAATGAAAAGAATCTCAATACAGTATATTTCTTCTCTTTGGTTACAAATAGTTACAAAGAATATTTAAAGTGATGTGTTTTGTTGTATACTTCTTCTAGATAAGTTATATTTAGTTTTAAAATAATATTGTTTTAACTCATCTATGATCTTCTTGGGATTTGTTGTGTCAAGGGATGGATTAAATACTGATTCTAATAAAGTTAAAGCGATTAATAGTTGACCAAAGTTTATTGATATATATGATATTCTAACATTTTAATGATTTGATTTCTTTTTATACATAATTTAATTAGGGTTTTAATATTGTCTTGGCTCCAAGTATAAATTACTTGAAAAAAAGAATAAATATGTTGGTCGTGTTTTTATTGAAATAAAAAAGTGACTTGTCAATGCATCTATTCTTAAGTTGCTTAGTTTTAATAAGGAGTTGATTTTTCTTGAATGCATCTAGGGTTAGGTATTGGAGGAGTGTTAAGATAAGAGGGGTATACTATCATATTTTTTGAATGGGTTAAATGTTAAATCTCAGCCATCCTTAGACAGATTGATCCCATGACTAGGATGGGGATCCGTGGGAGGCTCACCTGAATCTCACCGTTCTCTTTCTATAGTTAGGTGGCTGATGTAGGAAGGACTATATTAGGGAAATAATGCAAGATTATATAACTGATTTATTTCTTTATTAGAGATTTTGTATAGATCTATAAATAGGGATATAATTGTGCAATAACATAAGCTTTTTTTTTCCTCTCAAATCTCTGAGTTCAACATGGCATTAAATCCACGGTTAGCCTTCATTGCCGTTACCATTGACAAATCTTTGTGAGTGGATATACGAAGTAAGCAGAGAGGGCAGCCTTTATTGCCGTTGAAGATTGATCGTCAAGCAGTTTGTTTCATTCCTTCAAACCTCCCTACATGCGGTCCTCCAAGCATGCGCGAAGTAAAGTCGAATGTGTCTGTCAAGCGTAAGAGGTCTTCTATGCGTGCGAATTGAATGCCTGCGTACGGTTGATTGGAAGACTTGACAAGGTATCGTACGCGCCTGAGGATGCTCGTGCATCGATTGCGAGAATCAAAGGAATCGAACGAACGTCTGCCTACGTACGCCCGTGCGTATCGACCGGAAGAGTTGATCGAGGGAGAAGAGGTCTCGTGCATATCTTCTGGAGGAATCGAGCAAACGTACTTGTGTGCATATCAGACGGAAGAGTCGAATCGAAGTCTCATACGTTTCTTTTGGAGGAATTGTCCGAACACGATGAAGCGTGCGACTAGAAGACTTGGCCCGATGTGGAAAGCTATTCATGCTTTTGGACCGAACCAAACAAGAGCTGCTATAACAAGCATCGACCTTCATTATCCTTGCTAGAATTTGGAGGGTAAGATTCCAGGCAGTCTTCATTGCTACCCAGGATCTTGCAGATAGCCTTTAATGCTATCATTCGACAACGTAATGTCTGAAATTAATTCCTCCTAGAGTATGAACCAAAGTAAATAGAAGCATTCTATTGTGCACCAAGGATGAGGTGATCTCCAAAGTATGCAACATTCCTATCACCTAAATGGGAAGAACTACCTGAAGTGAACTCAATTAGTGAAAACCTACTTGAAAGGGAGAGGAAAGATACATCACTTCCTTAGAGGAGGGCCAAAAGAAGGAGATCCTAATTTTTGGGCATGGGATGAAGTGGACTCCATGATTATGTCCATGGTTGTGGAATTCCATGACTCCAGAAATTAGTAATATGTTTATGTTCTTATCAACTGCAAATGACATATGGGATGCCACCATACAAAACTTCTGATGCATGATTAAAATATTTTAAATGTATGCGATAAGAATTGCACGATTTCTTGAATAAGCAAGTAAGATTAAAACTATTAGCAGTCAAAACGATAAAAGGAAACCAGAGAGGTGTGCCTACGTTTAGGCTAAGCCACTTGCCAAACACTTGGAATATCAAAACAAGTTAGAAGCTCAATAACATGCATAGTAAATAGCTTCAACAAAATCCCTAATCTAATAATAAGTTAGCCACATATAAGGCACCCTCAATTCCTACGTTTACTAAGCTCGGCAGAGATAGGCGGACAAGACCATCATGAAGTAAATCAAACCACAAAATAAAGTTAGACTATGAAAATACTAGAGTAGGAAGATTAGAAGACCTTCGTTACGGCTTGGACGTAATCCTCGATTGAACGGTACCAAGTTGCTCCTCTATGGCTTCGACGAGAGTATCTAGAATGTGCTCCACGTATTCCTCGATGGTGTTGTTGATATTTGGGTTGACGTTGAAGAAAGTTGAGTGGAGGATGTGCACGAAACCTTGCTCGTCGCAGGCAAGGCCGTAGCGTTACGGCTTGGACGTAATCCTCGATTGAACGGTACCAAGTTGCTCCTCTATGGCTTCGACTAGAGTATCTAGAATGTGCTCCACGTATTCCTCGATGGTGTTGTTGATATTCGGGTTGACGTTGAAGAAAGTTGAGTGGAGGATGTGCACGAAACCTTGCTCGTCGCAGGCAAGGCCGTAGTCAAGATCGGGATCGGCCATGCATTGATCTCGTTGCGTCGAAGTGTTGAAGGAGGTGGCCCTTTGCTGTCCTCGTCGTTTTCCCTTTGAAATAAAGGGATTTCTCTCAAGACTCAAAGTAGGAGAAAGCAAAAGAAGGTGGCGGGCCAAGGGGAAGAGGTTTTGGGAAATTAGGTTCAGATTTTGGGGGATTAAAGTGGAGGGAATTGTAACTCAAACACTTCCTAATTATTTCCCTTGATTGAGGAAAAAAATAAGGAAGAGAGAGAGAGAGAGAGAGAGAGAGAGAGAGAGAGAGAAGGGAGGAGGTTAATTTACTTCCAATTGGAGAAGTTCCCTATTGGAAATAAATTAAATAGATGGGGCTAGGGGAGAATTCGGCCAAAGGGAGGTGAGGAAAATTTGAATAGTTTCCAAAGTGGGGAGTTGGGTTTTAGGAAACAATTCCTAATCTCCTCCTATAGGGGCCGGCGGCATTAAGGGCTATGGGATGATTGAGGTGGAGATTTGGGTTTCTTAATTTAGGTTTAGGAATTAGGAAATGATTAATTAAATCCAAATCAAATTTGAAATTCAAATAGGATTTAATTTAGGAACTTTCCTAAAATAGATTTCTTAAATTAGGAAAGAAATATTCAAATTCAAATTGCATTGAAATTTGAAATTATGTCTTCCCAAATTAAGAATAATTATTTATGGAAATGATTCAAGAGGTGATTTGAATTTTGGAGGGAGGATGAGGGAAGAGGGGCTGGCGTTTGGTGGGCTTGAAGGGGATTTTGGTGGGGGTGCTGGGGGGAGAGGTTAGCCCGTGGTATGGGTGGTGGGAGGGGTTTAGGCGGCGATGGTGAGTTGATGAAAGGAAAAGGAAAAAGATAAAGTAACGAACCACGAACCCGGCCGTCCCCAAGGTTGGTGGGTGATCCAACTTCCCTATCCTAGGGATCTCTCTCTCTCTCTCTCCAAGCACTCTCAAGATCTTTCAAGAACTCAAGCAATAGCACAATTTTTTATCATTCAATCATTAACCTTAAAAGTGAAACATAAGGGCTATAAATAGCCTCGTACAAAAGAACTCAAAAATAAAAAGACGACAGTGTCCTTAAGCCTTACATACGACCTCCCTTAAGGGTTAAAAACAGGAAAAATAAATACAACATAAATAACAAGAGACAATTAACATAATCAAAACAAATACATGAAATGACTCAAAAATACATCGACTCGATCGTGGCCGTAGATCGATGGCCACATCTCTGATATACTTTCCATGCTCTGATGTCCCTATAACATTCTCAAAAGTTCGGGATGCTACCCAAATCCCATGACTAGGATGGGGATTCATAGGAGGCTCACCTAAATCATAGTTATCTCTTTCCATAGTCAGGTGGCTGATTTAGAAGGATTATATGAGGGAAATAATGCTGGATTCAGATTTGGCTAATTAAATAAAATGAAAAAAAATAATAGATAAAAATTAAATATTATTTGCATTAATTATATATAAATATGTAGTGCATGTATATTAAATTTGAGAACTACACTTTGGTGTTTTAATCCCACATCATCTAGGCACTATATGTTAGCATTATTTTTGTCTATATAAACTTTTTGATTCACATGTGAAAAGAAGTCACATGATAAGTTGGGTCATATGATAAAGCATTGTTGATGCTTGTTTAATTAATATATATATAAAATTTAAATTAATTTATTAAGTGAAATATTTAATAATAAATTTAGTAACTTATTTCTTTTAATTAAATGCTAGCCGAATCGATTCAAATTTTGCTTGGGCTTAAACTGCCAGGTTTTGCAAAACCGGCACCGATTCTTCGGTTCATTGGTTCGACCGTCGGTTCAAGCAGTTCTCAGGCAGTTCAATGCTACTCCTATTTTATACGCACAGACCAAACCGGCCGATTTAATTTTTATAATCTTGGTTAAGATTGATGTGTGATAAAATTATTAAGGGTAAATTAAATAAATTTTATATTAAAGGGATGATTATACTATCATCATCTGAAGATAAAGTTGTGAAAACTAGATTTAAGTGGTTTATACATGTATATATGATGGGCCGACCTATTTGATTAGGAGGGATTGGAAAGTTTCCTAATCGGGGGTGGGGGGGGTGGAGGATGAAGGAGTGAGATTTTTGGTGGAGCTACAGAGTTTGGAATGCAAAAAAGACAGAAGGAAGATAGAAGCACCAGATAAAGGGTGTTCCAGTCAGTTCAGGGGTTGCCTCCTCCGTGAGAATGCTATCATGTTATCATCTTGAAAGGAGTCTCGCTTATCAGTGTTTGTTTGTACCGTGATTCCTAAGTCCAAAATGAAGAGATTGAAAGATTAATCAAGGAGATGCTGGAGGCATGGATTATTCAATCCAGTAACAATCCATTTTTAGTCCAGTGCTATTAGTCTAGTGCTTCAACAACAATTTCTTTCGTTCCACCTTGAGGACAAGGTGACACTTTGGGAGGGGAGTATTGATGGACCGGTCAATTTGATTGGGAGGGTATTATAAAGTTTCTTAATATAAAAGGAGCTATTTAGGAAGGTTCTTAATCAAAGAGAAATTATTTAGGGAAATTTTAATTACAATTGGGAGAATTATTTAGGGCAAGCGATCTCATTTGAATTCAAAATCTAAGAGAGAATTATTTAGGGAAAGGGAGGAGGAATCAAGGAGGAATTGTTTAGGGAAGTTTTAATTGTAATCAGGAGGGAGTTATTTAGAGCAAGAGATTTGATTTGAATTCAAATATGAGAGGGGATTATCTAGGAAAGGGGGTTAATTTGGGAGGGAATTAGGGGAGCCTATTTAAGGCTAACAATAGAGTGATTTCAAGATTAGGATGTTATTTGCTGAATTTAGATTGTTCTTAGGGAGTTTTGGGCTCTAGCCGGTGGCTAGGGATTTGGGAGAGCCGGTTCTTCCTCTCCAATAGAAGATCTATCGTATCTCATTGTTTCTTCCGTATATCATCAATTAACAAGAATTTTCTCTTATTATTGTTCTTAATTCCTCTTGGAGATTGTGTTTGCAATTGCTGCAATTTAATTTCAATCAAGGGAGATTGGATTTTTACAAACACTTTCTATCAATATCAGAGGGTGAAAAAAATACACCAATTAGACAATATTAAATTAGTGTTGAGGGCTCTGCGAGGAAAAAAATGATTGTCCTATTATATCTGGGATAAAAATTGTTCAAAAATCTATTAAAGAATAACTTTAACATCTCCCAACAAGAACAAATGAAAAAGGTGGATCATTAAAGCTGTCCTCAAATAATTGGGATAAGGTTAAAGATGATGATGATGATGAACAAGATGTTTTAACTGTAAGGATTCAACTAAAATTATTTGATACTAAATGCAGATTTTGCTAGAAAGTGATTCAAAAGTTCAACATCACATTTACAATATCGGTGATGGTATGAATATTACTGTGACTAAAATTTTGAGGTATATTATATTGAAGTCCTGATTATTATTCAAAGAAGCATCTCTTGACACCTCAAAATAAAGGAAAAAACATACAAGTGAATTGGTTAGGTTGGGACTTTTTATACCCATATTTGAATGAAATAAAAATAGAGCATTTGGTAAGTAATTTAAGTGAATACAAAAGCGATAGTTATTAGTCAATATTGCTAGAAGATCAAATGACACCTATGTCTTTTCAGTTTAGATGAATTAAATATATTATAAAAAAGGTTGAAATATTGATGAGGGTTTAACTTGGTTAAAGTTATGCCTCAGGTCTCATGCAATAAGGTAATTTATGAGAGTTGAAGATGAATTTTATGAAATTCTAATTAGATTAATTATGTCATTGGATCTAATTGCTTGGCACAGAAGAAGATTTTAATAACTTGGTTGAGGGAGATATAAATAAGAACGTTAAAATGGTTATATTTGAAGTAGAAAATGATAGCAACAACTTGTGATATTGAGATATGATGAGAGCAGCTTTTATTAAAGCTATAATATAAATAAATTAAAGTGATGTGGACATACATGACTAAGAGCAAAATATATTGATAAGAATGTTTTATAGAATTAATCTAGAGAAGTAGAGCAGTAGACTAAAGAACATGAATAGAGGTTGCAAAATATTTATGCAAAATCAAATTAACAGAGTTCTCAGAATGAATGAATGGAGAATGATGAATAAAGCCTGGTGCAAGGTGGAAGAAGACTAATGATGATGATGATTTGAATTAAAAAAATTCTAAAATAGGCATTCTGCATGAGATATTTCATGTTTTTAGGTTCAGAATTTGATTAAAGTCAGAGGAGAAGCCTTCGTGTGTAGCAGGGTAGAGAAAGCAGCTTAAACTATGCAGAAAACTTGTTTTGACCTTCTACTACTATGGTTTAATATTGGCTGCTTTAAGGTAAAAGTATAATTTTTCTGCACTTATTTTTATTCATCGAGCCGTTTTGCTATATGGGTTTACCTCGAGTAGCTGGCCTTTATTTTGGCGTTAAATCCAATCCTAGCTGTACCGAAGGAGACATTATTTTGTGCGGACACCGGACGTAGAGAACCGCTCGGATTTGCTGCGTTTTTTATGCTCTTTTGCAAAAGGACAGTAAAATGACAACAAATATTCAATTATGAGTGCGTTTTTATTGTCATTTTGCTGCCCTTTTGCAAAAGTGCAGCAAAATCGCAATAAATATTCAATTATTTACTAAATATTAAATATTTGCTGCCATTTTACTGCCCTTTTATAAAAGCGCATCAAAAGGGCAGCAAATCCGGACAGTTCTCTTCGTCCAGTGTTCGCACAGAATAATTAGTCGTACCGAAGGGGTACCGAAGGGGTAAAAATCCTGTGCCTATTATTTTCATGAAAACAAAATGAATTTTTTATTATTTGGTTGGCATTAGTTATGCGATATGTTTTGACTTGTATCTTCTCGGGCCTCTAATGTTTGAAAAATACTGTAAGAAATTCACTTAAATTTTTATGTTCCTTCACATACCTGAAAGTTGCAAATACACGTTAAGTACGGAAATAATATGGACAAATATCATCCCTATTTTCTCTCAAAGCAAGATGATTCTTTGAATTGTCTTCAGTTGTTTTAGTTCTGACCGTGGCCCTTACACATGGCATTGATTTGTGGTCGCAGGACTTCAGTCTATTTATTGGTGGGATGGTAAGGTACGCAACACATGATTTCCCATGGTCGATGCTAATGCTAACTGACATTTATTTCCTGTCGTAGCTCCTGTTACATTTGGGACATGGGCATTAACTTTTAGGGAAAAATAAACTGGATATCATGAACAAATTTGTATCTTGACGAATTTCAAATCTATTTAAATTAATTTGAAATCCTTGTAATATACATTTTAATTAATTATCCGGATATTATATTTATGTTTAAATTAATTCAATGGATCTTAATTTCATTCTGCTCAAATTTTAATCTGAATATAAAAAATTTTTGTTTGTCCCAACACTTCTCTAATGGCTGGGAAAGTGGATATGCCACCATTGCATCTTGTTTACAGGTACAAACGGATTCTGAAGAGCTTCTCATCATCAAGACTAGAGAATCTCTTCTAAATTCTTTGACAGAGCACGTCAAAGCAAATCATGAATACGAGTAAGATCATTTAAATTCGTTGTACTGCCAGAGGCTTGACATCTTAGTGCATTTCATTCAATAACTCCTCATATTACCAAAAAAAAAAATGCGCAAATTGCAGGGTTCCTGAAGTCATTGCATTGCCAATAAATGGTGGTAATGATAAGTACCTAGAATGGATCAAGAACAGTACTAGAGACAACTGAGTGCCATGTGACTTTGCTATATGTATTTTTTATCCATCTTTGGCTATGTGACCTAGAAAAATGTTTGATCTGTAAGAATAAAAGTTTGCATTTTTACAAGAGGACTAAGAAACTGCTTGTGCTAGCCTTTGTATAAAACAAAAGTTGCAACTTTTAAAGAGTAATGCCTCCAGATTGAACCGATTGCTGGTGATTGCATCTCTTGAATATTTAGAATCTTCTTCTCCCAAAATAAGATGTTTGTGTCCATTTCTTTTGAAATTTAACGAGTGATGTATTGTCTAACAGGAATGTTCTACTTTAATAGAATAATGTTAGCTACATCATTTCCAAGGTAAGGAGAAGTCATGGTGTGGCTTCTCCTATTCACATAGATGGTTCTTATCCTTGTAGCTTAGTTGGCTACCAACAGCTCCATCTTCTATATTTTGTGGTTCAAATGGATGATGCTCCCATCGAAGTCTCTTGTAAGTTACTCATAACTCTATTACAAGATTATAAGTGGGCATTGGTCTTTCTATGAGATCATATAGGTATTTTTGTACATAGAGGGTTATTATTGTGCATTCCCATCGGAGTATAGCTTTTTTTGGAGTTCCCGGTTCTACAATTCCTACGAGTGATTTTTAAAAGCTTTTGAGTATTACTTTTGGTAGCATCTTCCTCTGGGGATTTTTTTTTTTTAAATAAAACTCGCTGAGGAGCAACTCGATTACTATAAGAAAATTACAAGCCTTAAAGAACTACCAGTTCTAAAAGAACAGATTTTGAAGAAAACCTACGAGCCGACGTTCTATCTATTGCAAGAGAAACAATAGAAAATAAGGCAACAAAACAAAACTACCAGAGCACCAAGAAAAATCCAAATCTCAGAGCCACATGAGCCACCCAAAGCACCACCAGAAGAGACCCAATGGTCCAAGTAACAATTGAGACGACAAAAACACAATTCAAATCAAATGCTACCACCCAAAAGGACTCAGTATGTCAATCCTGCACCCACCAAGTAGCGAATAAATGACCATCCATTGACAGTTGTAAGCCACACAACAACCAAACGAAATTCCGAGCACCGAGAAAACCACACCAACCACCAAGATTGCCAACTCAAGGCCAAACCGGGGTTAAGCAGAATTGCCTCATCATAGTTCATAAATCATTAGAAAAGTCAAACCAATCACATCATGAATCACATTTATTTTTCTTAGATTTATTTTTAGATCTTTTTCCAGCACCGATTGAAACAACATGATCAACTACTCGGCTTGCCATAAAATTATATATATCTTGCGAATCTTGAAATTCATTTTCAATCTCATCAACATCGCCATCAGACACATTCAACCAATCAGTATGATCCACACATAATTTACTCACCGATAACGTCAAATGGGCTTTCAACTCCACATTGGACACAACCAAAATAGGAATATCAACAATAGTTTTCGGCATAACCAAGTTAACTGAATGACTACCTGCATCACCGACCACATAATCCAAACAATTTCTTCATCAACATCAACATTAATAGGAGAAGGAATCGGGGTAGAGACATGATTCTCTAAGCAAATAGGGCTCATGTCACCCACAATAGAATCATTGCCCACATTCCACAAATTGTTACAAGTCCCATCCTTAAGATCACTAGAAACCACACTGGCTACAAGATTACAAACACCTTCATCAATCACATTCCCATTAAACAAAGCAATAGGGCCCACAGAGGCCAAAGCCATAGGTCCATCATCACAGCCAATACATATTAGAGCAATATTGAAAGACTAACATCCCTCCGACCTCCTCATTAACAACCAATGAAGAAACCACCATAGTATTACTATTAGCAACAATAGACGAAGTCACTGGTAGAACAATAGTAGATAGGTTTCGGTCTAGATCAGCAACCACAAGGGAAAATACTCCAATAGCCGCCCCCCTCCACAGGCATAATAGAAGTAACATTAGGAATGACCACATTTATCCCAACCAACTCACACTGGACAAAAGAGGGATGAGCCTTGCTAAGGATAGGAACGGGTTTAGCAACAAGATTAAGTTGAGGATGTAAAATACGGCATTCATTTTTCAAATGACATAAAGAATTACAGTGCACACAATAATGAGGGAGATTATCCAAAATCACCGACTGAATGTAACCGGAATTAGTCGAACCACCCAAATCTTATCCAAGAGTTTTTTTGAGACATCCAACTCTACAAGGATGCGAGCAACAGATGGGCGGGAACCAGAAGATGTTGTAGTATCTATTTTTAAAGTCCGATCGAACAAGGAACCCAACCCAAAGAGGATTCATGTGGGGAGAAAAGATGAGGCCGAAGGTAAGGAAGTGAAATCCATATGGGAACGATAGGAGAATCAACCTCAATGTCCAAAGTCGAGGTCCATTTCACAACTTTCATAAAATAATTACTCACAAAATAAGATCGATGAGAGAAGATCATACAGTAATCAAAATCGTTGACAAGCTTGATCAATACATTTCCAGGGTTGAGAATAGTGACCGAGCAATCAACATTAAGCTTTAGATTGAAAAATTTTTTCCTGATGGCATCAATGGAAGGCCTCCGGACAGGAAACTTGTCTACTAAAGCAAATTCAAAAGGAGCATGGAGCAATTTAATTTCATCCTTCGAAATCAATAACTATGACAACCCACAGTGAGAATAAATTCTCAAATCGGGAAAAGGGACATAACAATTAGATGTCCAAACAAAGCATCTTTAAACGAAAGAGCAGAATAATAACCGTGCAAAAACCTTGGGTCGCAAAGCCGGGAAGACGACATCAAGCCAAAAAACAAAACAAGAAGAACACCTTAAAAAAAGTTCTAGAGAAGGACTTCCCTGAGGCGAAAAATGCGACGGAGGCCACCCACACATCAGCGAATGGCACTGGCAAGGAGAAAAAACCATAGCATAGCATCTTCCTCTGGGGATTCTTATTCTATTTTACATTTTATTATGTTTATAAATATATGCATCATAAAACACTTTTATGGGCGAATAAAAGTTTTCTTTGATGCATACAACACAATGGAGAAAAAGGATTTTTGTAGCTGATTACTTATATTGGGATAAAGACTTGATGTTGTTGTTGTAAAAATCATTCTTTTTATTTTGGCATTTTAATCTTTCATTAAGTATGAAACTTGAAGTATTTTCAAAGAGGCCATCCCTTTGTTAAGTTAAAAGATGAAGCTTTCTTCTAACTGCTATTCTAGCTCTTTATTCTCTCTCATTATCTTCTTCCCTATGTTTATTGTAATTGGTTAAAAGTGATTGAATTGTTGGGGAGGTGAGGAGCAAACACCACAATGACGAAACAAGCAAGAAAGTAAAAGGAGCGGAAAAAAATAAAGGACACCAAGATTTAACGTGAAAAAACTCAAAATATGGAAAAAAAAATCACGGAGTCACACCACACCAAGAAATCCACTACAAAAGTTTGGAGAAATAAGTACAAATCTCTCTTTTCTCTCACTCTCTCATTGCTTCTCTTCTCACATGCATTGTTTTTAATGTCTACACACTCAAAATATAAGAGAAAGCCAATTAAAATAATCTCAAGAGACATGGACACAACCCTTAAGAAAAACGAAAAATAAAATCATCCAATCTGTCTCACAGAGCTGCGGTGCAAGTTTGGAGCACTGCGGCTCTGAAGCCTCTATCTTGCACTACTGCAGCACCGTATCTATACCGCTACGGCGTTTTGCTATCTGTTATTTAGCACTATGCGCTTGAGAACACAGTGCCGAGGTGTTGTACGGAAATAAAGTTTGATTGAGATCTGAGGCAATAGAACAATCCAATTTGACCGACACAATCGAATTTCACACATAACATGAATTTCATCATATTAACTAAAATATGATTTTCTTTCTTTTGCATAAAATTTCAATCATTCGTGGCTTATGGTATTTTTAACTTTCTTGTCATTAATTTATAGCATAAAGAAAAAAAAATCTTCCAACTAAATTAGATTTTACCATTGTCAATTCTCATTGAAATTAACAAATAATAATTTAAAGATTAATAACAACTTGATTTCCCATAAAATTTGCATATTTATGGCATATATAGTAGATGTGCATTAAAAATCTTAAACCCTAAAATGCCATACGTCAATGTATCATAGCATGTTACAATTTATCCTTAAACATATCTTATAATGTTCTAAGAAATCAAGAAAAACTATCAAGATTGAGCATTCACAAGCATAAAATATTCAAATCATATTCCAAGAAAATAGGTGTGTTCAAAACAACAAACTAGTTGAAGGACATAACTACAAAGAAGCTAATCAAGAAAGCAACATTTTTACGATGAATTATTCTGTGTGGATACCGGATGGAAAGAACCGTCCGATTTGTTTATGTGAACAATAGCTGTACTTTTACTGTTCATGCTGCGCTTTTACTATTTACATAGACAAAATCGAATGATTCTTTCTGTCCGCTATCCGCACAGAATAATCTCTCCATTTTGACACCCTCTTAATGAGGCTTCTTTGAATTATTTTTATTTAATCATTCTCCACAGTCAGCTGTCTAATAAGAAAGCTCAAAATAAATCTGCAGCTGCAAGCTGACAGCCAATGATACTAATGGCAAATTTGGCGCATTGTAAGGAGCAGAAGGCTTACTGTTCATTTCGTGAAGGACTTTATCAGAACTTATACGTACATTCATAACTTCTACTGTTATTGATCACCAAAGACAATAATGGGACACAAATATTAATGTAATTTGAATTCAATGGCTTGACGCTGAAAGGGCTCAGAATTCTATATTTATATGTACAATTTTACATTGCATATCCGAGTTTACAATACTTTTATAACTTTCATGATGAAAATAATATAATGTTTGTATCATTAAAATACAAAATGATGAAATTTTTGCATGTGAGCTTAACAATTTATAGAATATTACAATTTGGTCCACAATGTTTAAGTTAATTATTTGTAGTGTCATCTTATTTTACAAGAGAGGTGCTAAATTATTTCTTAAAACAAAAATTATTATTTATTTAAAAAATAATATTTTAAATTCCACAACTCTTTAAATATCTAAGGCCTCGCTTGAGACGATTTTCGTATTATTTTATTTTCAATATCACTTTCACAATTTCTATTTGACTATTTTTTTTAAAATTATATACTAAAAATCTGCTTTTAAAAAAATATTTTTCTTATAATAATTTTACAGTC